TGTGTCTCACTGTCTTAGGCAAGATGTCCAAAGTAAATTCATGCTGTGAAAGCTCATTTCGCTTTCACTCGGTAACTAGATCTATCCAACCCAACCGATGAGGCAAAAAAAAGGGGGAAAGGAAAGCAAACTGCTTAAAATATTCCTACTTTATGTAGTTTCTTTTTGAAAAAACCCTCCTTTACACAGCTTGAATCGGAAGGTTTGCGTCAATTAGTCAATAGGAATTCGTATAAGATTTAAGTTTTGATGTCAACGTTTAAAAATATTAATTTTTTAAATATATCAAATTAATGTAAGAAATATATTTTTTAAATTATTCATAAAAAAATTAATTTTAAAACATATAAAAATTAATTTAAAAATATTATCATTATAAAAAAAAAAGAATTTCTTACAAGAGAGCAAAAGGAAAGGAAAATAAAGGTTCTGATTAACAATGTAGTTTGTATCATACCGTACCGTACCGGTCGGTATGATCGGTATGTACCAGTTTTGGAAGTTAATCGAAACGAAATAAATTAAAATTTTGTTTCAGTCAAATTTCAGGTGTACGGTCAAATTTCGGTGTACCGGTTGAAATTTCGAGTACCGGCCGATACACCGAAATTTGACCGGTACATTATGCAAGAAGGAAAAAAAAAAAATCCCCAACCGAGAAGGCTGCTAGAGGAGAAAGAAAGCCGTCGGATCTGAAGGGAACAGAACAAGAAACAACAAACAAACAGAATCCCCAGCCGAGAAGGCAGCTGGAGGAGAAAGAAAGCCACTGGATTTGCACTGAACAGAACAAGAAACGGCAAACAAACCAAGAATCAACATATAAACAAACAAACAAGCAAACAAACAAACCAAAAAAACCCACACAAAACAAAAAACAAAGCCGGGCTACAGAACCGACAAGTCACGGAGGCCATCGGAGCTTGGAGCACATAGTCGGCTCCACTGTGCTTGAGCGACCGGGAGGCCCCGCCACTCAAGCAGCAAAACGTGGAAGCCCGAGGGCTTCCGATCAAAACCGCGGGTCATTGGTGCGCGAGGTCAGTAGCGGCGGTTAGGACAGAAAAAGAGAGAGTGCATAAATTGAAAAAAAAGAGTCAATCTTTTTAATTTTTATAAGATTTG